TTTTTTTACACAGTACAGTAATACAATCTTTCACAGACATGTTTAAACACAATAAATATAAGCAACGCATTTTTCAATGCTTTTTACTTTTGCATTTACTTCTAGATTTATATATTAAGTGGCAAAACTACTTTTCTTACGTTATCACAATCTTACCATTGACAGAAATAGTCAGCCCTACTGCCTTTTCTTTTGCATTTAAATCTTTATTACAAGCAACCCTGCGGTTCATAAAGAACTTTGTTTTCCTACCTCCACAAGTGCCAGCAGTGAACGCTTTAATAATCCGTTAACATGAGCGCGGAAAAAATACGCACCACCTATGCACTGCAAACGGAGTAATGTGAACCTGGCGTTATGTGTGTGCGCTGCGAGTGTGCATGAGCGTACGGTCTCCAGGAGAGCGCGCGAGCGCTGAATGGTTAAACACTGGCAAGAATTATAAAGTAATGCAATTTATAAACTTTAGTGACGATGTGACACTGCCTCGATTGTGCAAGTGACAACTCCTGTGTCAACTGTGCAGCGTGCAGCTCGCTTATAGACAGACGCGGTGTGGTGATTTGAAGACATTTGCATATTTTGAGAGAGAGCGCGCGCGCGGTGATTCACTCACGCTGTTTGTGAAATTACGTCTCACACAAGGTTTTCAAGTTACTTTATAAGTTATTTAATTAAGAAATATTTATAGCATTATAATTATTTCACCCGCGCCGGACAGAGACTGAGACGGTGCCGCTGCATGTCATGCCAAACCTTCTCACAGCAGGCGCATCATCAGCTTGAGATCGTTTTTTTTTAGATCGGCCTTTTTAGAGACCGCCGATCAATCATCCCAAAGCGATTATCGGCCGATAGTGATCGGTAGCCGATCAATCGGAGCACCCCTACTTCTAATCATTGAGTATGTTTAGGACCAGGGTAATAATAACATATTTCATTTCATTTCGTTTTTTAATGTAATAACATTTATTTTATTTTATTTTCAGAACAGAACAATTCGACACTAAAATGCAAATTCTATCATAGATTGCTCATCCTTGAGAGTATGTTTTGGTGGAAAATGGTTATGGAAAAACTTTCTGACTGTTTTTGGTGCAAGAAATCTTCACTAGCACTGTGGATCAAACAAAGTGTAGAATATGATCCGTTCAATATGCAAACATCTGTATGTTTGTCTGCCGCTGCAGATTGTCTGTGTTTGAGGTGAGGAGCTGCCTGTAGACTGCAATCTCATCTGGGAGTGGGTTTAAATTGGCCTTGTTTGTCTTGAAGGATGATTTGAGACCACCTCTGCACTTAGCATGTAGTGGGAACGCTGAGATTGTGTTGTGCTTGCGTGACAAGCCTGTTGAAAGCTTTGAGCGGTTGTGTGATATTTAAGAGTGACTTCGCTGGCGTTTGTGGAAGACCCTGCTGGTGAACCCTCTAAACATTCACCGTAACCCTGAAAGGGGGTGACGCCTTGGAGGCAGATCTCACAAGAATCTGTCAGAATCCAGTGATTTAAGGTGACCTCATGACCCTGTGTTCGCAAGAGTGACCCACAGTCACCCCTCGAGCAAACACACACACACACGGCAGTATGACAACTTCCTCACTGCGCTCCTCTACATCTCTGTTCTAAACATTTTTTAGAACAGCATATTTACAAGAACTAAAGATACAATTTTGACAATTTGTTCATCATGAATGAATGTAATTTCCAGCCTGTCTTAAATAATCATTCATGTTATGGTGCAAATGACATTTTAAAATAATTTTAAATAAAAAGGCAGATACTTTCACTTTAACGTCATTTTTTTTTTCAAAGGTGATTTTAGTCATCTTGGTAAACACCTTAGGAAGTAAGTATGAAAAAGTATTTTGAAAAAAATGTAGGACCAAGATTGTTGGTTGTGGTAGAAATTATGCTAAAAAAACAGCTGAAATGTGTTATAATAGATTATAGTAGAATTAAAAATGTCATTTATATGATGGATTTTCATATTTTAAGATAGAAAGTCTGATTCTGGGACAAGGTAATAATAAAGGCAATACATATATTTATTTTCTTTTTTATTTTCTTTTATTATTTTTTTTCTTTTTATTTTATTTTACTCCCTGGGACATTAAAGTGCCTGAAGTAACACTCGGATATGAAAAATTAGAAATATCCAATGATATGAAGACCTTAACTGCTTAAAATTGCATAAAATTAGCTGCATTGAAGCTGTGTGTAATTTCTCAGCCATTAGCATCACAAAATGGAGTATTGGCTGTTTTCAAACAGGTTTCCTGAAAACCCACTTCGTATTTTATCAGTGAAACATACAGAACTCACTTCATTGGCTACTCCAGACAGTGAGATTCAGCAAAGTTACACACATCAGCCATGTCAGTAAATGAAAGATATCTGTTGCATCTCATGTCAATGATTTATCATATCTGTCTTGAAATCGTTCTAGTTTAATGATGGTTCTGCGTCAGGAACAGGCCGCAGAGAGAGATAGAGAGGGCAGATAAGAGTGTTTTAGCTGAGGTCAAATGATCGTGCCTGGATGAGCAGATCTTGAGCGTGTTGGAGAAAAAACACAACCCCACAACCTCCAGAGGTGACACAAGTCTGACCCCTCTAGATCATTCAGGGTGAGTCCTGCTCTTCAAATGAAAGCGTCTTTCACGTGTTGTTCAGTGACTGACTGCAGAGGCATGGCTAGATTGATGATTGCTTTCTAAACCCTTGCGCTCTCTTTGTTTCTCTGTCTTTTTCTTAAACAAGCAGCATGAAATGTAGTTTGCAAAAGTCAAGTGAACAGATGCAGTTTGTCTTAATGTGTGTAATCAGCTCTGTTTGTAGATGAGTGTGTGCTCATCAGAAGCGCCTGCTGCTTTTCAAGAGTGCAGAAGCACAGATGTCACTTATCAATCGTAAAATATGCACTACAATCCATGCACTCTTTTTATGTTAGTGTATGCAATGTTGCTCCTAAAACTTCTCAAACTACCACTAAACAGCAAATGCAGTTAAGGAAAATAATTGATCGTGCTCAGAACTGCATTTTTACAATATATACAAATGGCAGCAGGAACAAGATTATGTTTTTAAATTTCAGGCTGTCAGTCATGTATATCACTTCTGTTATTGCCTGTTTGTTGCATAGTTGAAACCAGTGAACATCAGTCTTTGCTCCATTAAAGTCAAAGCTCCATCAAAATAAACTCTTAAAATTTTAATGGGGCTCTTTATCATAATGCGTCCGGGAATTTTAGTTTTTTGTAATTCCCTTTTTTTGGTGCCTCTCATTACTGTAATAAAGTTCCTATATTATAGTAAAAATACTGTAGTACAATGATATATGACATTTAAAGCAGCATAAATGCAATGCAGTACTAAGTACTACAAATACAGCTATAATGTACAGATTCTTTACAGTTAAAATAATTTATCTTTATTTTTTTTCTCTTTAGAGTAATGATAAATTTACGCTTTGTCATTTAGCAGATATTTTTGTCAACAAAGTTAGATTTAAAAAATTTTTTTTTTTTAAAGAAGTCTCTTCTGCTCACCAAGGATGCATTTATTTGGTCAAAAATAATACAGTAAAAACAGTAATTTTGTGAAATATTATTACAATTTAAAATAGCTGTTTTCTATTTGAAAATATTTTAAATTGTAATTTATTCTTGTGATGCAAAGCTGAATTTTCAGCATCATTACTCCAGTCTTCAGTGTCACATGATTTTTCAGAAATCATTCTAATATGCAGATTTGCTGCTCAAGAATGTTTTTTTTTAATGTTGAAAAAAGTTGTTCTGCTTTGTATTTTTGTTGAAAACATACCTTTTTCAGGATTATTTAATAACTAAAAAGTTGAAACAAATAGCATTTATTTGAAACAGAAGTCTTTTATAACTTCATAAATGACTTTACTCTCACTTTTGATCAATTTAATGTGCCCTTGATGAGTAAAAGTATTATTATTATTTTTTAAATCTTTAAGAAATGTAAAGAAAAATCTTACTGACCTCAAACCTTTGAACTGTATAGTGTATATTTTGACCCATACTTTGCCCAGTCCAACCTAATGTGTGATAGTGTGAGTTTAATAGTCTAGATCTGGCTGTGATTATCATTGTCATAAAACTTCCCCCGGCACAGACGTTAATCTGTGTGGAGCTCTGTGTTTTATCTGTGACCTTTCCACACCTCTCACTCCATTCAGGCTCTGCTGGGATCCTCACAGTTCTCCAGCTGATGCCTTCAGGAAGGGTCACGTCCAATACAAAATCATGCCTTATTATTTCATTCTATAGTGTGTGTGTGTGTGTGTGTGTGTGAGAGACTCTGGTCTGCATCATTGTTTTCAAGCCAAATGACAACACAGATAAACATGACAAAGCAGTCTGTGAAAGGAGAGGGAGGGACAAGGAACAAAACAGAGGAAGAATGTCTAAAACGAGTGAAAGAACACATTCAATGGTTTTCGTTTCAGATAAGAGAACCAATGCGATTAGGACAGACAATCCGTGTATCATTCGATCATTCGTTTTTTGATTTAATATTGAAAGTAGAAAAATGAGAAAACGGCTCCTTTTTCGTATTTTCGTTTTTTTCCAAAACACGAAAAACGAGAATTCAGCGTAAATTTTCGTTGTTCGTTCTTGGGTGGAAAAATGAATAAACAGCTTGAATATTCGATTTCTACACGTGGACGGGAATTAAACAACCCTTTCTGCTGATTGGTCAGCCGAAGATCAAACTGTGCCATCATCAGTTCTTCTGCAGTATCATGCAGCAGAATAATAGTTCTGCTGCAGTTGAAATAACTACAAAATGTCATGCCTTTGAAAAATAAAGAGAACAACAGATTGCGCTGCTTTAGCGCGTCTCGGTCTCCTTGAGCATCTTTCCGGGGCATGCCACAAACATGAACCACAGGGAATACTCATCTTTTAAAAGGCTTCATTTAGATTATTTGACGTTAAATGCATCATCTTTCAATATTAAATCAAAAGACGAATGATCGAATGATACACGGATTACAAACCATCCAGTGTTCCTTTGCTTCACATGCAGCGAAACTCTCCGTCTCCGACTCTTTTTGTCTTGTATTATTGTGTGTTTTGTACCTTCTTCACGTTAAGGAAAGAAGCTGAGTGAATGGAATGGGAGAATTGAATGACTGAATATCTTTCATAGTTTTAGTTCATTAACTACTTCTGCCTCCTAATCATAATAACGAGAAAAGTTTAGGTTTGTTGTCATGGCTTCTTAAAGGTAAAAGGAATGTTGATATTTGCACTTAACAGAAATCGTTTGTTTGGACAGTTCGTTTAAATGAACTGGTTGAAGTGAACAATTGACAGATTTGTTTGAATCATCAGTAAACGGTAGTCTCTGTGAGACCTTTAATAATTTTTGCTGTGAACTAAATATTTAAATACTGTTGTTTATGATTCCGACATCACCGTTTTACTCGCTACCAGGGTTCTTACAGCTGACTGATGAACGTGTTGTGAATCAGTTCAGTCGAATCATTAAAATTATTCCTTTGTAAATCTGAAAACTGGGAAGCTTGACTTGTAAATATGTCTTGCATCTGAAACACTCTATGTAGTCTGGACTATAGACAGGCAGAGTGGCATTTCTGCCTTGAGTTGTGAGTGTAATAGGGTGAATTGCACAATTGCTACAAAAAATGCTAATATTCTGTGTCTGCAGAAACAGTCAGATGCATTCAACATGTTGGAAGTGCTGTACTAAAAGTAAAAAAAAAAAAAAAGTAAAACTAAAAAAGTTTACTTAAAGCAGCGTGTTTTTAATATTGATAATAATGAGAAATGTTTCTTGAGCAGCAAATCAGCATTTTAGAATGTGCACACAGTGTATATATATATAATAAAAAAAAACTAAAATAAAGAAATAAAAAACATTTCTCATTTTCATTTAGTTTAACTTCTAGACATTTAGTATAATGTCTATTTATATGACATATATAAAAAAACTAATAAAAATGACACTAAAATAAAAACACAACAAAATGACTGAAACATTAACTAACAAAATGAAAACAAAATATAAAAAAAATATTAATAAAATCTATAATAGTTGATTCTAAAATAACACTACTTAAACTGAAACTTAAATAAAAATGACTAAATAGTGTTAACACATTAAAAAACAATAATAGAAATGACAAAAACACAACAAATTTACTAAAACTTTAAGTAAAATTTAAATTAAAACAGAAAAAAACATTCAAAATATGTAAAAAAAAAGAACACTGGTTCATGCTTTTCAGATGTTGGTCTATGGTTACATGACAAGCAGGTAAACAATATCTAAAAAACAAAAAAGCTTTTTGAATTATTTTACAATTATTTAATTATTTTGATTAATTCTTAGTTTTTCATCAACTCATGAACCCCCTGCAGTTCCCTCATGAATCCCAGAGTTAAAGGATGCATGTAAATTTTAGCAGGCAAGTGTCTTGATAACTTAACTTCTAGCCATGATGTTAATTGGCTGTTAATTGCAGGCCACAGAATGGGGAGTAGACGAGAGCACCAGGAGGTCCTGCCAGAGCAAAGGAAAGACGGAGGTGAGAGACGAACGCTGGGATGCGCTCTGTGAATGAGTGTTTGTTATAGAGTGCCTCAGTAGGGTTCTGGAAGTAAACTGTAATGTGTGTGAATGAAATGTTTCTTCTCTCTCAGGATGAGTGTCAGAACTATGTCCGTGTCCTCCTGTTGAACGGCAGTCGTCTGTTCACCTGCGGCACTAATGCTTTCATGCCCATGTGTACGACTCGCCCTGTTACGGACATCTCCAGCGTCCTGGAGTCCATCGGCGGGGTGGCCCGCTGTCCCTACGACCCTCGACACAACTCTACAGCCATGATAACTGAGAGTGGAGAAGTCTACGCGGCCACAGTGACGGATTTCTCCAGCCGCGACCCCATTATTTACCGCAGTCTGGGGAACATGCCGCCCCTGCGGACCGCACAGTACAACTCCAAATGGCTCAATGGTACAGCGGGACAACACACAAATTATCAATGAATCTGAAAAATCCTGAAAAAAGAATATGTTTAGGTCACGTTTTACATTAAAATCAAAATAACACCTGTATATTAAATAACATTTTGTTTAAAGAAAATCTAGCATATTTTAGGACCTTTATGATTTTTATTTTGCATTATAACATAATTTTCAAGACAATTAAGCTCATTTTGACCTATATTCTCATTACTGAAAAAATAATGATAATTTAATTGTATTTTTTTATTTATACATCCTGGTAGTATTTGTTTTACTTACCTTCATTTATACATTAATATTTGTCAATTAAAAAAAAAAACTTATTATTGCATATAATGAAGTATCAAAATATTGTGTTAGAAAATTAAACACAAACACAACAGTTAAACATCTGGATATTGTTTATGATTTAAAAATGCATTAAATCATTACAACATATTTTTACTGTGATAACATTTATTAAAAAAAAAAACATTATATTAGCTTATTTTATTCATGCAGCAATGCTGTATAAGAAAATTCAACAATGAAACATGACAAAAATTAAATAAACTCAAAAGTTAAGCATCTGGACACATTTTTTCACACACACACACATATATATATATATATATATATTAGTCAAAAGTTTGGAATAATTAAGTTTTTAATGTTTTTGAAATATGTCTCTTCTGCTCAGCAAGGTTGCATTTATTTAATTAAAAAAACAGTAATATTGTGAAATATTATTACAATTTAAAATATTTGTTTTCTATGTGAATATATGTGAAACAGTGATACACTACCATTCAAATATTTGGGATAATAAAAAAACAACAACAACAAAAAAACGAATACTTTTATTGAGCAAAGTTACATTAAAAGTAACAGTAAAGACATTATTAATGTTACTAATTATTTCTTTTTCAAATAAATGCTGTTTTTGAACTTTGTATTCATCAAAGAATCCTGAAAAAAAAATTGTATCATGGTTTCCACAAAAAAAACATGAAGCAGCACAACTGTTTTCAACATTGATGATAATAATAAGAAATGTTTTTGAGACTGGAGTAATGATGCTGAAAATTCAGCTTTGCATCACAGGAATAAAATTCAATTTACACTATATTCAAATAGAAAACGGTTCTTTTTAATTGTAATAATATTTCACAATAATACTGTTTTTACAGAAGCCTTGGAGAGAATTACTAACCCTCTTTTGCCGTAAAAAAATAAATAATGTCAGGATGTACTAAAGACACACAGTGAAAAATCAGTGATGAAAAGGCATGGACACAGTTATTTTTGCTGGTGACCTTATTGCAAATGCATTTGTAGGAGTTTCAGAAGCAACATTTGTGGTAGGAGAATATTACAATCAATCATGCAAGGTGATTTACTAAGGTTGACGCTAATGAGTTGACTGCTATTTTTGCCATTATTTAACTTCCAAAAAAGCATCTGAACCCATTTTGTGTTGGACATGGCTGTGATAGTTGCTAATTTGCTTGGTAGATTGCGTTGGTCATTATGGAAATGATCTGGCTGTGTCTGTGTTCTTTAATTTGCCCTTTGTCAGTTAATCACCAGCAGAACTTTTCCCTCCCATTGGTGCTTTTACGGGATTGCGGTCTCACGCTAAATTGCCGTTTAGTAAATCTAGCCCTTTCTCACCCTTAACTTTTGAACACTACTGTTTTTCTATTAAGATGTCGAATGTTCAGCACCTCACCATCCTTCACTTCTTCCTCTCATTTCTCTTCACAGGAACAGCATTGCTGCGTCAGCGGTGTGTGCGTTTAACCTCAGTGCCATCACGCAGGCCTTTAACGGACCCTTTCGTTATCAGGAGAACCCTCGGACCAGCTGGCTTTCTACTCCCAACCCCATTCCAAATTTTCAGGTAAAGGAAATGACCTGCTGCAGCTTCCATTTCAAAGCATTTTACTTTTACCCTGAAGCCAACTCCCAATTCTATTCAAGACATTTGGCAGCAAATGCATTAGTCAGTTCGATTTAGATTTATCGTTTCTCTAACCTGCCGTTCCTCATCACCTCATCTCTGGCTGTAATGTCCTCTTTCTCTGTGCCAGTGCGGGACAGTGAATGATTCAGGTCCGGGCGGTAATCTAACAGAACGCAGTCTTCAAGACGCCCAGCGGCTCTTTCTCATGAGTGAGGTGGTTCAGCCCATCTCCACGGATCCTCTGGTCACGCAAGACAACATCCGTTTCTCCAGACTGGCTGTGGACATTGTTCAGGGAAGAGACACGCTCTACCACGTCATGTACATCGGCACAGGTCAGGAAGGAAGAGAGTTTGACATTCAACACTTTTGTCCTCCAGTGTTGTGCACTGTGGTTCTAATAGTTTTCTTTCATTGACCAATCAGAGTACGGCACCATCATCAAAGCCTTATCCACAACTAATAAGAGTCTGCGCGGATGTTACTTGGAGGAGATGAGCATTCTCCCAGAAAACATGCAGGAGCCAATCCTGAACCTGCAGATTCTGCACAGCGATAGGTCGCTTTTCGTGGGACTCCCCAGCAGAGTGCTGAAGATCCCTCTGGAGAGATGCTCCAACTACAAAACCGAACAGTGAGTCGCACACATGCACACGTGTCAACTAGGACAGGCACATTAGTCAACTACTGTAGGTTTTGTGAAAAACAGCTGACTAGTTTGTTAAAATGTTTTGAAAGAAGTATCAGTAAAGATGCATTTATTTGATCAAAAATACAGTTATATTGTGAAATATTATTACAATTTAAAATAAGTGTTTTCTATTTGAATATATTGTAAAATGTAATTTATTCCTGTGATGTAAAGCTGAATTTTCAGCATCATTACTCCAGTCTTCAGTGTCACATGATCCTTCAGAAATCATTCTAATATGCTGATTTGCTGCTCAAGAGACATTTGTGACCCTGGAGCACAAAAGCAGTCTTAAGTTGCTGGGGTATATTTGTAGCAATAGCCAAAAATACATTGTATGGGTCAAAATGATTGATTTTTCTTTTATGCCAAAAATCATTAGGATATTAAGTAAAGATCATGTTCCATAAAGATATTTTGTAAATTTTCTACTGTAAATGTATTAAAACTTAATTTTTGATTAGTAATATGCATTGCTAAGAACTTTATTTGGACAACTTTAAAGTCGATTTTCTCAATATTTTGATTTTTTTGCACCCTCAGGTTCCAGATTTTCAAATAATTGTATCTCGACCAAATATTGTATATCCTAACAAACCATACATCAATGGAAAGCTTATTTATCCAGATTTCAGATGATGTACAAATCTCAATTTCGAAAAATTGACCCTTATGACTGGTTTTGTGGTCCAGGGTCACATTTATGATTATCAGTGTTGAAAACGGTTGTGTTGCTTAATATTTTTTGCGAACCGTCATACATTTTCTTCCAGGAAGTTTGTAACATTATAAATGTATTTACTGTCTCGTTTGATCAATTTACTGCATCCTTGCTTAATAAAAGTATGAACTAGTTTAAAAAAAAATCATACTGACCCTAAACTTTTGAATGGTAGATTCCTGAGAAATATGATAGGCTACTATAAGACTGAAAAAATGGCAGTGATTTCTTTGGCGCTGAATGCAACAAGATTTTCAATTCCCACATCTTGAAGAATAATTGTATCGGGAGTCGTTGACAACAGACTCGTGAGGTCAGAACGTCCTAACCATGAACATGATTGAACTGTCACATTCACATAGTATCAGTACAGAACTTCCAGATCCCATTTGCCACCATCATCACCACAATGAGTACCTGTTCACACATGACATCAAAATGCACAGTTGCTGTTAAATTACAGCAAAGGCTGATTACGGCACTTGTCCTTGCTAGATGCCCTTGGAGTCAGACAGGAAATGAAGCTCAAGGAGATGAAGTGAATGACAGTACTTATGAGCAGTCACAGATATTATTATCTCATAAATTCTCCGAGAGGCGGCCGAATGATGAACTAGGTCATTTAAAAAAAATTGCTGTCGTGTTCTCCATCGCTGCTATGAATAGAACACCTATAAATTCTCGAACATCATTAAAAATATATAATGCATGCATCACTCCTTGCAGGAAGCGACTGCATTTACTTTAAGAGATGTAATTAGATTTCAAATTCATAAAATAATGGCATCCAAATGAATGAATTGGGCTTCAGAGCTGGATTTGTAAGAGCTTTGTGCAATTTTGTACCCTAATACTTGGTAAATTGAGTTATAAAATCAAGCAAAACATATTTTTGATCTGCTAAATGACTTCAAGCTCCACATGACACCGTATTTAAAATACACCTTGTGTTATAATAGAGATGTTTGTTTTTCGTCTTCTTAAAGCATGTCACATCAGAAGATATTTTCCATGTGATCTGTCAGTTTAGAGGCACATATGTGACCCTGGACCACAAAACCAGTCTTAAGTCGCTGGGGTATATTTGTAGCAATAGCCAAAAATGCATTGTATGGGTCAAAATTAACGATTTTTCTTTTATGCCAAAAATCATTAGGATAATAAGTAATGATCAAGTTCCATGAAGATATTTTGTAAATTTCCTACCATAAATATATCAAAACTTAATTTTTGATTAGTAATATGCATTGCTAAGAACTTCATTTGGACAACTTTAAAGGCGATTTTCTCAGTATTTTGATTGTTTTGCACCCTCAGATTCCAGATTTTCAAATAGTTGTATCTCGGCCAAATATTGTTCTATCCTAACAAACCATACATCAATGGAAAGCTTGTTTATTCAGCTTTCAGATAATGTATAAATCTCAATTTCGAAAAAATTGACACTTAAGACTGGTTTTGTGGTCCAGGGTCACATATATGCTTATGATTCGAGGGTGTCGGTAGTTACTTTAGAAGTAGAAGATTGTCTTTATATGGGGAATGTGATCTATTGAAGACTCTCCCTGACTTCCTGCCGCAGATGTTGTTACACAAACACTCGGAGCTACACGAGGCGGACACATTTGATGTTAGAGGCTGTTATGGGACATGATGGAGCTGTGTGTGTGAAGCCGCTCTGTGTTTAGAATGCCAATGCAATGGAAAGAAGTCATTTCATTACATATTCTCCCCCACGCACACGTACACACAGGTGGCAAAAGGTCAGATCTCACAAGATGTTGCAAATAACTCTAATTATTTTAAACCAGTTCTCATCTGTAGAGTTTGATTGAGCTGCAAGCATTATAATTTTATATAACCTTTAATGTATTCAAATGTATTCTCTTTCTGCATCTCCAGCACATTTGCAGTTTTCTAATGTTGCCGGTGTTTAGTTGTTAGTGGGATGCTGAGACACATTGTTATATTTGATTTGGTTGTAAAATATGAGTATATACAGTGCCGTTCAAAAGTTTGGGGTCGGCTTACCAGGGCTGTATTTATTTGATTAGAAATAAAGTAATGTTGTGAAATATTATCGCCATTTAAAATAACTTACATTTTTTAAAATGTAATTTATTTCTGTGATCAAAGCTGAATTTTCAGCATCATTACTCCAGTCTTCAGTGTCACATGATCCTTCAGAAATCATTCTAATATGCTGATTTGATGCTCAAGAAACATTTTTATTATTAAGATAGTTGAAAACAGGTTTACTGATTAATACTTTTGTGGAAATCTGGATACATTTTTCAGGATTATTTAATGAATAGGAAGTTCAAAAGAACAGCATTTATTTGAAACAGAAACTTTTGTTACATTACTTATGAATGTCTTTACTGTAAATTTTAATCAATTAAATCATTTAATCCTGAGTAACTTTTGAAGCTTTTGAAACTTTTGAACACTACTTTATATATGATTGTATGCTTGTGCTTGTAATATACTGGTAACTTACATTGTTTGCTTTTTCAAACTTTGTCCTTCTGAAGAATGACATCATTAAAACAATGAAATATGCTCCTGAATTAATAACACCGTCTCGCTCCACTGAACCTAAAGGACACAAGGAGAAAATGATAAGTCTGTTAGCTGTAATAAATCACAGAGGTTCTGTCAGATGTTATTTATCTCCCAGAGCAGGATTTGAGGTTTATTGTGTCTTCTCTGTAGTTCCTGTAAGTCAGATCATATCATGTTCTGATCAGATGCTTAGATTATATTTACACTTCAGCTCAGTCTCTGACTTTGATCTCAATATAACAAAAGTGATGTTTATATTATAGACCAAATTTGCAAAATATTCACTTGAGATTCAGTGTTCAGTGTGAGAAGGACAGTATTAGTTTTAATATTTATTGCAGTGAGATTTATTCCTCAGTTATTAAGCCCAATCTCTCCTCTCCTTTTTCTCTCTGGTCATTAAGAAGTTCTCATGAGCAGACAGGTCACTCTTTATGGTGGTATTTATTAAGACCTTGTCATTGATGTGTGATTTTGTGATCGTAGGGACTGTCTGGGTGCCAGGGATCCGTACTGCGGCTGGGACCGGAAACAGAAGCGCTGTACGACGATTGAGGACAGTTCCAACATGAGCCAGTGGAGTCAAGACATCACAAAGTGCCCTGTAAGACACACTTTCAGACAACATCATCACACAGAAAAGAAAAATCACAAATTACATCTCTTTAATATCTCAGGTGTTTCTTCAACACAGCAGTGAGATTAAATGGACAGTAAATTGATTAATTCATGATTAAGTCTCCTGTAACTTAATTATTATCTTGAGCAAAAGACCCTCTGTTCTGTTCTGTATTCAATTTTATTATTTTCTATACTAATATATCATTTTCTGTTCTGTTCTGTTCTGTTCTGTTCTATTGTTCTGTTATATTCTGCTTTGGTATATTCTGTACTCAATTATTCTATACTAATTACCCTTTTCTGTTCTATTCTAATCTATTCTATTCTGTATTGTTCTGTACTGTATGCTTGTATTCTGTTCTGTTCTGTTGTATTCCATTCTGTTCTGTTCTGTTCTTTTCTAAATTCTGTTCTATTCTATACGCTGCTATTATTTTTTATGTTCTGTTCTATTCTATTATATTCTATTCTATTCTATACACTGCTATTCTTTTTTTGTTCTGTTCTACTCTGTGCTTTTATTTTTTATGTTCTATTGAATTTTATTCTGTTCTGTTTTATTCGATTCTATTATGTTCTATTCTGTACGCTTATATTCTGTTCTGTATCCTGTTTTATTCTTTTCTATACTAATATATTATTTCTGTTCTATTCTATTTTGTTCTGTTCTATTGTTATATTCTGTTCTGCTTTGTTATATTCCGTTTTCTATTCTGTATTCATTTATTTTCTATACTAATCTATCATTTTCTGTTCTGTTTCATTCAGTTCTATTCTATTCTGTTCTGTTCTGTATTGTTCTGTACTGTATGCTTGTATTCTGTTCTGTTGTATTCGATTCTGTTCTATTTTCTACTCTGCTGTTATGTTTTGTTCTTTCTATTCTGTTCTATATTCTGTTCTACTGTATACGCTGCTATTATTTTTTGTTCTGTTCTATATTCTATTATTTTCAATACTAATCAGTTTTTTTTTCTGTTTTGTTTTAGTTGATTCTGTTCTGTTTCGTTGTATATGTTTGTTTTATTCTATTCTATTCTATTCTGCACTACTCTATTCTGTTCTATTACAGTCTTTTCGGTTCTATGTCGTGTTCTCTTCTGTACTCTGCTGTTTACTGTTCTGTTCTGTTCTATTTTATATGTTTCTCTTCTGTTCTATACACTTCTATTCTTTTCTGTTCTATCCTGTTCTGTTCTATATTCTGTTTGATTCTATTCTGTTAATTCTGTTCTACTCTACATTGTTGTTCTGTTCTATTCTGCTATACTCTTCTGTTCTATACACTTCTTTTCTGTTCAATATTTAGTTTTATTCTATTCTGTTAATTCTGTTCTACTCTACATTGTTCTGTTCTATTCTATTCTATTTTATTCTGGTCTGGTCTGGTCTGTTCTGTTCTACGAACATTATTTAAGAGCTTCTGTGGTGAAGATACATAACAGCTTATTTTTTTTTGAGTACACCAGAAATCTTGTATGATTTTTGAGCTGGTCTTGAAGAATCAAATTTCTGATGAAGAGCCTTGAAACAGAGCCTGACGGAACCCAGCTTATCTGAACCCTTCGTCTGACACTGTCAATTACACGCTGGTGTTCTGCACGAAGGCTGGCCAATGTCTTTCCTGTTCCTTCTTGACACTTCATTAGGTCCATAATTAGACATCACAAATTTCCTATTATCTCTGATGGTTGATATCCTCTGAGGAGCAATAATAAACAAACCTAATTTTCTACAACACTGTGGAAGCTTTGGCTTTGTCCCAAGTTGCATACTAATACTATGCATTAAAAGTACTTGCTATTATGCTAATAGGCAAAAACTAAGCGTTAGCGTTAGTTCTGGCAGGTCACGTGAGTCAAGCTTGCATCAGCTGATTCTCAGCTGATAACATCTACCTATAGGAATACGACACCTACCATTCCTATATAAGCTCTATTTAGTATTATTCAGCAGCTTTTCAGCTTGCTCCGGAGCAAATTACCCTCCTCCATCCCCAGCTCCTCCTTTCGCCACAGTCAGGACTTGGCTTTCTGATATTCCTTGCTAATCAGACTCCTTTATCTTAAATGATGTGTTACACTTAAATATCATTAAGTACATTAATGATATCTGCCTTGTTCTGTTCTGTTAACCCTAGGGGGGTTATTATTGCTGCTCTCCCTGCTCATTCATGACAGGCTGCATGGATGGGCAGGGAGTTTTTTGCCCAGAACAGAACCATACCACCAAACCAACTTTATGCTAAGTATCTATCATTTTGACGATAGTGGTCCTGACAGAACCAGTTGTTTCTATTGTAATGGCTTTAAGCTGTGACAGTGAGTAAGAGTGTTTTTCCCAAACTTTTGCAGAATGAGCGTTGGCTCCATAGTTATGGCGTAAATCAACACTAAGTTACAACATGCACAGTATGCACTGCTAAATATTTGTGATTCACAACATTAAACATTAAGCATACAAACAAAATATTTACGTAAGATTCTAGTCAGAAATGACATTGGATAATATAGTGGACTGTTTAGATTGCATTGGAGTTCATGTTTGCGCAAAAGACTCTCCTTTAGACTTATTTAATGATGTCAACATTTACATTTTAAGAGAAAGAACGTTATGTGAATAACCTTCATCAAGGGGGTGTTGTGCTGCTACTATCTCAATAAATCACACTTTTGTGTATAAACTGTAAGAGCTGTTACTGTATTATATATAGTTATGGTAACATTGTACAATAAGGTTCTATACATTAATATTAGTATTTGTATTATTAATATTAATGTATTTAGTGTTATGAATTAAAAATGGTCAATATTTTTACAGCATTTAATCTTTATAAATATTAATTAATATTTTATTGTTCATTGTTAGTTCATCATGCAAAAAATATTCATATATGCACACATTAACATTATCCAAGCTCATTTCTGTAAATTATTGTTTGTTGTGCTAATGAATGCAAACTTATGCAAGCTTATTTATTTCCATGATTCATTTTACATAGGTTTCTGAATAATATTTACATATGTAAATATACTATTTTTGACTAATCATTTAACATTTTCTTTTTTGTGTCTCATTGGGAATTTAAACTATTCCTACGTAAAATGCAAAATAAATAAATAAATAAAAACAATTAAAAAAATAAATAAATGAAGAAACATCATCCAACTAAACTAAAATCCACAGCATTTCGACACTACATCTGTTTACAGTTTTAAAGGCTTCATGTTGGATCAGTAATGGCAAACATCATGTTATGTGACAATACTACTTACAACCTCATTGCTACGTTTTTGGCTTGTCTTACTAATTAAGTGCCAAGTTAAGTACAGACTAACTAACAGTTACTGCCCTGTTCCCACAGCAGAGCTGCTGATTCCTTGAACTTCCTCGTCATTGATTGGCTGAAGCTGAGGATCAAAGGAACCTGAAAAGGAGTGAATTCATAGAAGGGCAAACTGATGAGCATTACATTAACAATTTTTGTCATGCAGCAGGGAAAAGCCCCCAGTTGACCTTTTTTGATTCTTGAAGTACAGTGAAAGTTGATGCAGGTCTCGAAATTTCTTTTGCTATTAATTTTAATAACATTTGAGCGCTTCTGTGGTCTGAACTATTGGATGAATGGCATTGAGTTACTAATCCAGACTCAACAGTAGATGTTGGTATTCACCTCAATGGACGCACCGCACACCTGCTCCCTGAAGATTACCCATGCATGGAGATGAATTTTACAGTTTTTATCCTCAGTACCTGTGCAATACATGAACCAGCTTCTAATGCAAACGGACACACGGGAGGAACATTTGAATGGATTTAATTGATTTTGAATGAGATCATGTATGTGGAGACTTGGATAACTGCAGAAAAATGTCACTTTGTGACTTCTGATTTCAAAATTTTGTCTTCAAATAAGGCATGAATACTATTACCAACATGTTAGTAATATGCATGCTAATAAGCAACTAGTTAATAGTAAGAATTGGTACTTAAAATAAAGTGTTATCTACTGAAGTTGTCTATAAAAGAGAGTTGGAATCTGTACACTAAAAGGGTTTATGCTGAATGAAGTTTGAAAACAAGTAAAAAAATGGATTTTCCATGCAGACACTAAACCTGTGCTTAAAACTTGCCTTGTTTGCATTTACATTTATAGGAGCGGAACCTCACCCAGGATGGTGGATTTGGCCAGTGGTCACCATGGCAGGCTTGTAACCATGACGACGGAGGTGAAGGCACCAGCACATGTCAGTGTCGCACTCGGGCCTGCGATAACCCTCGCCCCCAGTGTGGAGGGATGGAGTGTGTCGGGGCGAACATTGAGGTGGCCAACTGCTCCAGGTACACCTACTGTATAAACCCATATGCTTGTTAAAGTAAACTAACCATGCATGATAAAGTTCAAATATGGCAAAACACCATAACAGTAGTTCATACGACTTGTGTGCGATATTCCAAGTCACGTGATAGCTTTGTGTGAGGATCAAGCTGTTATTTATGTCACTGACAATTTTCTCCTCTGATGTAGATCTCAAATCCCATCCGCACCCTGCATATAAACTTGACACGTTGTGATTGGTTACCAGACACATAAGAACCAAGTCATTGAGCTTCATTGATGACAAACCTGGCGTGACTTATCGTGATGAGCCGTATTTGTATTGTTCCGAACTATGGAGTCGGTTTGATTTTTAAAATGTTCTTTGAAAGACGTCTCTTATGTTCACCAATGCTGCATTTATTTGGTCAAAAATACAGTACAAACAGAAATATTATTAGAATTTAAAATAGCTGTTTTCTATTTGGATATATTTTAAAAGGTAGTTTATTCCTGTGATCAAAGCTGAATTTTCAGCATCATTACTCCAGTCTTCAGTGTCCTTCAGAAATCAGTCTAATATACTGATTTGCTGATCAAGAAACATTATTATTGTCAGTTGCTGTTTTTTAGACTATATCATCAATTATTATTGTCTTTTTTCAGGATTCTTTTTATGAATAGAAAGTTCAAAAGAACAGCTATTTTATGAAATATAAATCATTTGTAACATAAATGTCTTTACTGTCACTTTTGATCAATTAAATGCATCATTTATGAATAAAAGTATGAATTTCTTGCAACTTTTGAATAGTAGTACATATGATAGCTGTCGTGGAAGACTTACAAGTATACAGTTGCGCAGGTCATATGGATATAAAAGTTCATCTAATTTTTCAAGTTTGACAGCATCTTCTTATTCACTGTCAATCCACAGAGAATGAAAACTTATATGGGTTTTTATAAGAGTAAGAGAGTGAGTCAATTATTTAGTTTTTGGATGAACTAGGCCTTTATAATCTGGGACTCCCCATATTGAAGTGACAGGTGTAAAGAGTGCGGCTAGACTGATATATGAGAGCCAGAGAGATCAGCCTGAAGTGCTTTTATTCCGTCTGATTCAGCTCTTCTATGAGAGAAAGGCACCACCCAACGCTAACAGCTGCAGAGAGTGAGGCCTCGAATCCATCAATTCTGAACTCTGATACAGACGTGCTGCGAGTAACGCCGGCTCTATTCATTGACTGCAAGCGGCTGACGCAGCGTTTCTGGCGGAGCAGCTCCTTCTTTGCATGTCCCATTATCCTGCGGTCACTTTCCGCCACTGAATGAATGTTCCAATTATATCTTCACCTAGAGCTTGTTTAAACACACACATCACCAGGTCTGGGTGCGAGAATCTAACAGGACGCAATGTTTCACTATAACAGCAGAAGAGCAGCTGTGGCAGATCTATAATACATGAGTAATGAGCTGCTAATACATCTTTGTCAGAAAGCTACTGTTAAGTTTAATAAAACTGATGTTACCTATCAGGCTCTAAAGTTGTGATCACAATCCTGCAAAGTCATTATCGGGCCCTTAGAAGGAGTCGCTTGACTTCAGGTGACTTCAGAGGGACTGTCCTTGTTATTAAAGGGGTAATATATTGGAAAACAGTATTTTCTTGCTCCTTTGAAATAAATACTTTGAAATAATACGTTGCAACAGTGAAAAGCTCCCAGTTCCCTCGTGCCCCTGCCCTACCCTTCATATCGTTTCAAACCTGTATGACAGGTTTAAAGTCAGTGGGGTTTTGGACCCCATTGACTTCCAATGTATGGACAAAAACCGTTCCACAGAAGAGTGAAGTAAGTATCAGTGGGGTTATTGTCGACTTAAACTAAATCTACAAAAATAATTTTGTAATTGAAATAATCTTAAAAAATAAGAGATTTTAAATAAAAGAAGTTTAAATTGAAGTCAGTGTGATGGTAATTAACTAAAACGAAAAATGAAACTAAAATTAAGACTATATATTTAAAAAAAAAAATTGTTACTTGAAATGAACGTTAACTGAAATAAAATATAAAAAGTTTTTATTTCAGCTAGTTGCCAAGGCAGAATTTCTAATTTTAACTTAGTTTAACTTGATATACTAAAATAACTAAAACTAAAACTGAAATAAAAATCAGTAAGACTAGACAGACCTATAAACAGACAAAAAAAAACTAAAATCACAAAAACATAAGTTACTAAAACTTTAAAATTAAAATGGAAAATATAAAAATAAAAACTGATTCAGAATATTGTACTGAAGTACTAAAATGACTAAAACTAAAACTGAAATAAAAGTAAATTCAAGCTGTATATTTAACATCACAGCCCTTATCACATGACCGCCCACATTAACATATCCACACCGATACAGTATGTAGCAGCTGCAGTGATGAACGATAGTATGTACTACATTGGTGCACAGAGGCTAGCCAATCATAAGTGAGCTCATTTACATATAGACGTCTAATACAAGTCTACTTTATTTAAAAGGACAGAGAGAAGGTTGAAAATAGTTACTACTGTTTTTTTGTCCAAGAAACATTGACTAACATACAATAACAAAAAGTGACAAATATGGCCTCTTTAATGTATTGTGGCAGGTCTGTGGCATAAACTGACAGGTCACCAGACTGTGTTACTGTGTGGTATCCATGCTAACCTGCTTCTGTTTGTTCAGGAACGGAGGCTGGACTCCCTGGTCATCCTGGGCCGAGTGCAGCACCAGCTGTGGCATTGGATTTGAGGTCCGACAGCGGTCCTGTAACAACCCAGCACCCCGACACGGAGGACGCGTATGTGTGGGTCAGGCACGAGAGGAGAGGTGAGACGAGAGGAAAGATGGACTACAGGCTGTGCGTTATAGTTTTGATTTGATTTGATATGATTTGATATGATTCATCTGGGAGTCAGACTATGCTTTTAATTTACTACAGTTGAATCATAAATGTCAAGTGTTCAGGAATCGGTTGGACTACATTGGCTTTGCTTTATGGTTTGGATTCACTAAAAAGAACCAACTCTTAAGAGTCATTTGTTTGATTGTCTAACTAAACTGACTCATAAGTGTGTAAGTGTTTATTTGAGCTGACTGGAAGTTTGTGTGTGATTCAGATTGTGTAACGAAAAGAATCCATGTCCTGTTCCGGTGTCCTGGGTCTCCTGGAGCGCTTGGTCCAAATGTAGTGTTCCCTGCGGTGGTGGAGTCCAATCCCGTGTTCGAACCTGCGAGAATGGAAACACATGTCCTGGTTGCCCTCTGGTAGGGTCTTAAACAGGTCATATAAAATTTTAAAAAGCCTAATATCGGAAAAAGTTTTGAAAACCATGTGTGTTACTGTATCCAGGAGTATAAGGCGTGTAACTTGGACCCGTGTGCCGAAGTGAGGCGGACCACACCGTGGACACCCTGGTACCCTGTTAATGTGACTCAGATGGGGGCGAGACAGGAGCAGCGGGTCAGGTACACCTGCAGGGCTCTCCTCGCCGACCCTCACGACCTGCAGCTTGGCAAACGCAAGATAGAGACTCGCCTCTGTCCCACCAGTGACGGAGCTGCTGCCTGCGAGACTGATGGTACACACACACACAGCCTCAGAGGCACATACTCAAATATGCACACATCCTGTTTAAGATGGGGCGGCACGATTTTGGGGGAACAATCTAATTGCTGTTTTTCTGATAAAAATTGCGATTAAAATGTGATTTGAAAAACACCTCTATGTTTGCTATGCTTGTTTGTAGGTACAATTTGGCCCGAAATGTTATAGATAGATTTATAAAATAATATTTTATTTTTATTGAGTAATAATAATAATAATTATTATTATTATTATTATTAACAAATAAAATATTAAACATAATAAGAATTAATTAATTTTATTATTCTATTATTTTTTTATTTAATAATAATAATTATTATTATTAAATAAAAATACTAAACAAAATATATAATAATAATAATAATTATTATTATTATTTTACTAGATAAAAATATAAAAAAATAATAATTATTATTAGTAGTAGTAGTAGTAGTAGTATATTATGAATATTTTTGTTTAATTACATTATTATTATTGTTATTATTGTTGTTAAATATAAATATTAAACAAAATAGGAAATATTACTGTTGTAATATTTCCCTGTAAAATAAAAAAATGTGTATTTAAGAAAAAAAAAAAATAATAATTGTATTTTACAGTACAACTGTAGAATTACAATACTAATATTTATGGCTGGTTTACTTTCCTAATTTTCAAACGTTTAACCATCCAACTTTTATTTTGACGGAACACCACAGGGAGCCTGTAAAGCTTCACTTTTGTTGACAGCAGCTGGTTAATAAGCGCTTCTCATTACAAATATGGGTAGATGGTTGCCACGTGTTGCATTCCTAAATGCATAAGTGACCTAAACTCAGATCAGATGCAGAGATGAAGTTTGTGTGGAGCAACATTTACATGTGAATCACGCCACTTTGAGACACTGAAAGCACTGTATCATGAGCTGCTCGCGTGTAAATAAACAGTGCTGCTCTTCACTTTAAAACGTACCATGCATATATTTATGTAATGGAATCGCAGCCTTGATAATTGCACTAATCCATATTGTGCAGCCCTACTAAATGCACACTTTTATATTTGTATAGGTCTAGTTGAGGATTTGTTGAGAATGGGTCGACCTGTGACACGAGTGCAAGGAGCTGCCTGGTCGTCATGGGAAACGTGGTCCGCATGTTCCAATGAGTGTTCCAAAGGCTTCCGCACACGCAAGCGCTCCTGCGCCACACCGGATGGCAAGAGCACGCCGTTCGCCTGCAGCGGAGCGCCGGTCGAATATCAGGACTGCAACACTCAGACGTGCCCAGGTCTGAGAGTGCTTTGTATCCTTTTAAGTATGTCACTCATGTCCTGTTAATGGAGTAGTGTAATAACAGGTGTTGTTTTTCAGTGAAGGGGGCGTGGTCATGCTGGTCTTCCTGGTCTCAGTGTTCTACTTCCTGTGGCGGCGGTCACAACCAGCGCTCCCGTACCTGCTCTAACCCTTCCCCTGCTCATTCTGGAGACATCTGCATCGGCCTGCACACAGAGGAAGCGCTCTGTAACACACACGAGTGTGAAGGTGAGAAAAAACTTGCAGCATTAAAAGAATATTGTTTTTTTAAAGGGGAGGTCTAATGCTATTTCATGCATTCTGACTTATTTACACTGTGAAAGAGTTGGATTCTCATGCTAAATGTCAAAAAATGATTTGGATGTATGACGGAGTACTTCGGTGCCAAATACACTCCTTCAGGTTCCGTATAAGTTATGGAAAGTTTTTTTCGAGTATGGCTCTGTATGACGTCATAAAGGTCAGAATTCCTTGTATGGGCCGGAAGAGTGCGCACACACAACCAGAGCGAGAACAAGAGCAGCCCATCTACATGCTTCATTCGGGTTACAGGAGTCGTCGGCACAGGACTTGCTTGAGAAAAATGTCTTCAAAGACATGAACAGTAGATGCAGTTTGTTTTTTCGGGGCAGCAGCGGAGTTGCTCAAATGTGTTTGTTTGTTCCCGTCATTTCGGTGACGAAAGTTTTATAAACAAGACTCAGTTCGACGCTGGATTTCAGACGGGGGATCAGATTCTGGATCAAATATGTATGGCTGGATCTGATTGTTAGCCATATTTAATTTAGGCCCCGTCCACACGGAGACGCGTTTAGTTGTATACGGATAATTTTTGTATCGTATAGGCGTTTCGTCCAGACGGATCCGGCGTTTTGGGAGAGGGAAACCAATATTTTTTTAAATATTTATTTTCTGAAACGATGACGTCATCAGCCCACGTCTCGCCCCTAGTCAGACACCGCTACGTCACGTAACAGCAACAAAAACATGAACAAACATTGAACGATTGCCTTTTTATTAACTAACATTAACACAGATTAATAAATGTATTGTTCCATGTTCGTTTGTATACCGCGCGCAAGGTTTATGCGCATCATCTGAAGTCTTCTTCTACATTTTTAGTGTATCTCTGTGGCAGAATTACAGCGCCACATGCTGGTCTGGCATGTATACTACATCGTTTTGTGTCAGTTTCATGGTTTCGTGTGGACGCAGATATTTCTTGAGATAGGGGGAAAAAAAAGATCGGATAGGGAAAGCTCTGGCTTCGTGTGGACGTAGCCCAAGACTATTAAGTTTTTGTTCCTGTTTTATTTATGTCGATGTCACAGCTTGTAGACGATTGCTACTCAAAAGCTGCGTGTGCTCGTGACTCTTTAGCTCCGCCCACGGCATGCCTCCAGTAGCTCGACTGTTTTCAGCTACAAATGTAGCATATTTCATTAGTTTATTTTTATATTTTTACTAATGGCAAAACCCCTAATGTGCATCTGTGTTTGATTTAATAAAAAGAACCGGCTCATAAGAGTAATTCGATTGGGAATCGATTGAACTGTACCAGTTGTTTTGTATGTGACTGATTCACTAAGAATAACTGGTTCATAAGAGTAATTCTTTCTGGAATTGGTTGAACTACACCAGTTGTACTTTGTGTTTGATTCACTGGTTCATAAGGGTAATTCATTCAGAAATCAGTTTAACCCTAACAGTTGGAACAGTACTGTATTTGTTTGATTCACTAAGAATAACTGGCTCATAAGGCTCATTCAGTCGGGAATTGGTTGGTCTGAACTAGTTAATCTGTATATGTTTGATTCGCTTAAAAGAACCTGTTCATAAGAGTAATTTGTTTGGGAATCAGTTGAACTGTACCAGTCATTTCATTTGTTTGAAAATTGTGCTAAATGCTTTTAATTCACTAAGAGAACTAAAAGAGTAATTTTTTTCAGGAAACAATGGTTTTGGTTTTGATTCACTAAAAAGAATAAATTTTTCCGAGTCATTTGTTCGGGAGACTAACCACACTGGTTCTTCTTTTGAATTACTACAAACAAAACAGCTTAGAGTCATTCATTAGGGAATAGAGTACACAATATGCTATACACAATACAGTAGTTGCACTGTATGTTTTTGATACACTAAGAAGAACCGATTCACTCGTTTGTGAATCTGTTGGATTGGGACAGAAATCCCCCACTTTGTTAATGATAACACAATTGTGAAATCTGTGTTTGTTTATCTTGCTCACCTGTGTCAGGTGGGTGGGGGGCGTGGTCAGAGTGTAACGAGGAGGGGCTGCAGCTCAGGACTCGTACATGTGAAATAAGCTCCGCCTCTTGCCAAGGAAACTCCACAGATCAGAGACAGTGTCGACCCAATGAGAGCGCAGGTTAGTTAATTTCCCTCTTTTTTTGTTTGTTTCTTTCTGGCATCTCAGACTAGAATATTGTTTCACATGCACGTCTTCATTTTTTTAATTCTAGTGCTGTCAAAGGGACAGAAGAGGAGCACAAACTGTGGAGGTAAATCTGACTTACATCATCCAGCATTCAGGTTTTGATGTGTCTAATGACCCTAGTGAAACATTTTTTTCTGTTTTGTCTCCTGCAGGGTTTTCTCTGTTCCATTTGGTGCTGACTGGAGCGTGCTGTTTTCTGGGAGCCGTTTTGTTGTCCATCCTGGTGTATGTGTACTGCCAGAGACTCCGCAAACCCCCTCAGGAATCCGCAGTTATCCATCCCAGCACCCCCAACCACCTACACTATAAAGAGAACAGCTGTGCACCCAAGAACGACCTATACACACCCATGGAGTTCAAGGTATCCCATCATGCCACAGTGTTCTCTCTGTATTACACTTGTGCAGTGGTCCTTAACTGGTGGGTTGCAACCACAACACTGATTAGTGCAGATAATAAAAAGCACTTAATCATATAATCATGTATTGTTAATATAGAGAAATAAATAGGCTTTAACTTTTAAAGGGAAGGAGAAAACAATTCCTACAATTCAAGAAACCAAAATAGTCATTATTAATTGTGCAAATTGTTTGGCCTATGCAGTTCATGATTATTTTAGTTTATTACTTTATTTTATTTAATAATAAATAAAAATAATATCAATAAATAATGTTTCAATAAAAATGTTATTATATTTGTTATATTTTATATAATTTTATATAGAGAAATAAATAGGCTTTAACTTTTAAAGGGAAGGAGAAAACAATTCCTACAATTCAAGAAACTAAAATAGTCATTATTAATTGTGCAAATTGTTTGGCCTATGCAGTTCATGATTATTTTAGTTTATTACTTTATTTTATTTAATAATAAATAAAAATAATATCAATAAATAATGTTTCAATAAAAATGTTATTATATTTGTTATATTTTATATAATTTTTTAAAAATATGTTAATGTATTATTAATACATAATATATACTATTGTTATATCTAAATATAATATATGAATTCATAATATTATTATTATTATTATTATTATTTGTTTAATAAATAATTCTGGTCTTGGCGCAGTTGAGATTTACAACGCTCCCTATTGTTTGATTTTAAAAACATTATATTTTTTTCTTTTTTTTAATAATTATTATATTATGTTATTTATATTATATTTTTAAATAATAATTAATAATTAAATAATAATAATTAAATATATAATGTTAAATATTATGTATTTTTTAATAAATATATAATGATTTATTTAATGATAATAATAATTGTTATTATTATTTTTATTATTATTATTTACTTTTGTTCACTAAATAATTCCTCTAAAATGTTGGGATCTCTTGACATCTGATGTGAAGTCAGGGTCTGAAGCAGTTGAGAATCACGACTCTCTCTAATCTGTCTCAAAGGAAACGGCTCTCGTTCCTTCAATCCGTCTTGTTCTATCATTCCTCATTTTTCGGTTCCCTCTCTTCCCTCAGAGCATTGACATCACAGGGCCGCTGCAGCATGATGCAAAACACGCTGTGGCCTTTGAAATATTGAAGAGACTTTCGACATCTCGTGTGCTCACTTTTTGTGCTTTCTCTCTGTTCCCCGCAGACTCTGAATAAGAACAACCTGCTTCCACCAGACGAAAGCTGCAACTTCTTCCCATCAGCGTTACCGCAGACCAACGTCTACGCCACCACATATTACCCGTCTCCTCTGGGCAAATATGACTTCCCTTCCATGGATTCACCCTGCAGCTACATGCACAGCTGATGCACGGACACACATCTCATGCTTTCTTAGGGCTGTGTGACCACGGTTCCACTCCCTCATCCCTCCATGCAGATGCATTGGCTGAGCGCATAATCTGCATCTCAAAAGATGCAGGAAAATGCAAAGGAGTGATGTTCGGATAAGATGGGCCCATGTAGTTTCCTTGTAGCATTTCCTTTCCTAAATGGCATCTCGAACTGGAAGTCACGGGTTCAGCTGATCACATGCGTCGTATTAACTACAAACTGACACTCACGAAGCATGCACACTTCTTACAATACAAAGGAGCAAGAGGAATTCTGGAATCAAGCTCGAAACTGAATTGTGACGTACTACTTTATGTGCTGGCGTCATAATCGAAAAACTGCAATGCAGAACTCGCTTTGAGTCGATTAAGCATGAAGGCTTCCAGACAGCTGTGACGTCTCACCGTAAGCCCAAACATCTGTTTCCCTTATTTGATCCTGGTTTACTTCCTTTTTCTGCTCCAGAACTCCAAGAAGTACAAAGATGTGAGATACATGGAATCAGGATTACCGGCAATGCGACTGGTTAACATCAGTGATGTATGGATGAACTCATAAAAGAGACCGTTATCTTCAGTGTCCAATAAAAGACCTGAGCTCATGGATATATGGCCGTCCACACACTGTTACACATATGGCTGTGGATTTGTCCGTCAAGACACTTTTTAAAGGGAAAGTTCACCAAATATGACAGTTCTGTCATCATTTACTCACGCTTATGTCATTACATACATTTATGACTTTCTTTCCAAAGGCAAAACACCACGTTTACCATGAATATGGTAAAAAAAAAAAACAATTCTAATAGATATCACCATATTTCCCCAGTTGATTAATACAGTACATTAAGATAGCTGTTATGTGTATTACAAGCTTTCTGAAATGTTGTTTAAATATGCAAATTATGCATTATATAATTAAATATGCACTCATTTGCATACACGTCAAGAACAGAAATCTGAACATTGGATTTCTTGTTTCATTTTGTTGACCTATTAGAGATTTTGGAGATCTTTATCAAAAAATTCACCATATTTTTATGTATTGTATTGTATTGTATTGCATGTATTGCAATTGAAATCTACAGACATAAGTTGATCAAATGTAATAAAATAAACACTTAAATGTTTATTTGGGATGTTTTCTTTCCATTAGTCTGAAGGAAGACAAGTTATGGAAACAGAATAGCCCACGTTTTCATTTACCAGTGCATCAAAATGTCACACATTCTGTTAAACTCTTTTTCACAAGTAATGATATGAAGATGAGTAAATAATGACAAGATATATACATTTTGATCAATTAATCGTTTCAAATGAATTGTGACTGAAACATGGCAGTATGAAATAACTCGGTGTGAGTTTTATTGAATCTAAAGGGATGTACGTTTGTAAGTTTGTGTGTATATATGTAGCTGGCATTATATATTTATACACAAATTCGGAGTTTTATTTTTGATGGAATCAGGTATTTTTTTCCTCATTATAACTCCACAATGAACATACAACAATGAAAGCAGTAACTTGTCTTCGGAACCCTAAGAGTGCTCAGATTTACTCTTCTTTCTTACGTATGACTATTTAAGTTTTTTTCTATCTGGCATCGTGTGTACAGTACGTGTTTAATGACAATATGTTTTATGAAATATTTGATGTAAATTCTTTCCAGTGAGCCCAATGCAAGATGCAAACAGTCTGGTTGGATGTTGAATATGGCATTGGCCACGGTCGTGTGCTGGAGCTGGACGCTTGCTGATGACGCTTTTGTACACTGATGTTGCATGGATGCTCCATTATCTGAATGCAGACAGTTTTCTATGCAATAAAAAAAAGAAAATGATTTTCCAACACATGATCACTGCTTTTATACACTGAACTTTTTGCTATGTTTTTATATGTTGTACATTGTAAAAAATAAATAAATATCCAGCTGGGTGTCAAAACACCACAGTTTACTTTTCTGTCAAGACTTTATTCCATCCATCCATCCATCTTTTTTTTTCATTCTAGCATTATCGTGTTGATATGAGATGTTGTGTGTTCAGTGTGAAGGATTGTCCAGCGCAGGGGAAGTTTAATAACTCTGGTCATTAGCGGTACTGTAAAGTAGATTACAGTGTGGCTGTGTTCTCTCGTGCACGTCGTGTCCTCGAGGCCGAGCCTGCAGACGAATATTTAAAGTCTTCACTTTGCTCCATGTGATGAATGATGTTTGCGGTTCTAACAGTGGGTAAGTGATATAGCTTTTTAATGAGCTGTTTGCTGTTTAGATGTTTTCCTCTCTAATGGGAGGAAACTAACTATTACCCAGCAGCTGGAGAGAGTTATCAGAGCAGACGGGCTATTTGAACTCAGACCTGCTGTGGCCTCCAGACACACCACTAATGAAAGCATTACCCAGCAGCTGGAGAGAGTTATCAGAGCAGACGGGCTATTTGAACAGACCTGCTGTGGCCTCCAGACACACCACTAATGAAAGCTGCTCAGAGGATATTCCTCCTGAACTAACACTCACACATGCAGCAGGGAGCATTTATCTGCACTCAGAAAAAAAAAAAAGTGCAAAAATGGTACCTTTAGGGGAACAACAGCTTGTCAGTGGGGCAGTCCTCTCAAAGGGCCATCTTTGTACCTTGTTTACCCCTAAAGGGTTCATAATATTACCATACGAGTACATATTACTACTCCAAGGTAGTAATATGCACCCTTTAGGGGTAAAAAAGGTACAACAATATCCCTTTGAGGAGACTGGCCAACAGACAAACTGTCGCACCTCTAAAATTGTAGCTTTTTTTTTTTCTGACATTGGGTAGGTAAAAAAATAAAATCAAAATCCTGTCTTTGCCATAAAATCATTGCTTTTTTTTTTTTTTTTTTTTAATTTGTAAAATATAGTCACTAAATCAACCACAAAGCAGAGTTTTGAGCTTTTTTGTAATTCTCATTATTCCCAATTATGATTAGATTATCAGTACCGTAAAAAAATGTTGCTATGTAAAATTTATGTAAAACAATAAAAGCAGAAATGTTTTAAATCATGTAAATGTAATCAGTTATAGTAAAATGTTAATTTAAATAACATTTTAATATAGTTTAATAAATTAATATTTAATTTCATTTGTATTTTTATTACATTAAAATTGCAATACTACATTATTATTATAATAAAAAAAATAAAAGAAAATATACAGCATAGATTTGGAATGTTTATTTTGGGGTGAACTATCACTTTAACAAGGTGACTTGCAGAATACTGCACAGATTGTGTTTGTGATGCATTCTTAAAGGTCCCCGTTACTCTATGTGTTGACGTCATTTGAACTGAAACAGGAAGACAGGGCGGGACATATCAAGCAGCCCCGCCCCTTTTTAAAATAGCCAATAGCGTTCGTTTATATCACAGCTTGGGCTAGAGCCGTTCAGAGCCGTTGAGCTCCGTAAAGCCGCATTTGACAGGGTATGCCAGCCACAATCTCATCCATATTGCTATAAAATACAGCATTCTGTGTAGAATTCAAACAGCTCCGATACATTTTGTGACAGAAAGTTTGATGAGAAGCTGTAGTACGATGTGACGTCAAAAAAATTGTTGAGCCGTTTTGGCAAGCTTTGAATGCTTATATCTTCTAAATGTGAATTTTGTCACTGTTTTGGAGCACACTGCCTTATAGATAACCTTAAGACTAACATATTGATACTAACACCCAAAAAACTTTATGGGGACTTTAAGTGAGCAGCAGGATAACTGTCTTTTAGTAAAAAAAAAAAAGCACACTTCATACGAGCTACAGCTGCAATCCAGTCCAAGGTCAATTCATCATTTAAGAAGCTTCACTGGCTTTTTGCCCAGGAGTCAATGACTGTGACCTTCTGCAGATGTCGAGGTGGATTGGCAGAGATCTGGAGATGATGAGGAACTCACTTAAAATGGTTCAATCGGCTTGTACATTTCAGAGTCTCTGACATGACACGAAATACCGGCCAGTTCTTGATATCTGAGGAGGGGTGATGCTGGATTTTTGGAGCCTGTTATGTAGAAATCAGCTGCGATGGTCACAGATGTGTTGATGATTGAACACAGATGAGGAGTTTTGGAGCCACAGCCGTCAGCTTGACATGCACCACCCAAACCCCACACTCACTCGAAGAAGAAACTTCTCAAGAACATCATGCGGATTCTAAGAAATGACGGTTGTACTGCCAGACTTGATTTCTACAGATGTAGTACACACCCATGATGCTGGTGTGAGTAAAGACATCTTTTAGAGGTTATGAAAGTCCCTGAAGGACGCGTCCAGCATGATTTCATCAGCGTCTCACAAACACAAACACTGGAATGAAAGACTATTGCCTCTTCTACTGAACAGAGATATACGGGCTCATTAACATGCCTGATTGTTTACTAATTCATTTGTTTTCATTTTGCTCTGTGATGTGTAGTTTGTTAAAAGAGTAAATGGATGGGATACATTTCAGAGCTCTTATTAATAGCTTTGGAATTCAGTTTAGACTTATTACTGGGCCGATCAGAAGCGCTTCATGATCATTTATCATCACACACATAAACACAAAGAGACTGTGTTTGCGCCTCAAATCTTCAAAAGCACAATTCAAGAGAAGCATGGTGAATTTAGGTAATCAGAGACACTTTTTATCATTGTGCTGAATGGTAAAAAGTTGCCACGTTTACCTGAATTTACCCTTTGGTTCATAACCAATAAATTAGCATATTAAACACAGTAAATTAGTCAGGTGAGGTGCATAGAACATTACTTAAATAAGATTCTGTAAAATCCTGTTTTGTAAAATCACTGTGAAAAGTCTTTGTTACATTTACAGAAAAAAAAAAAAAGCTTTTGTCTTACAGAAATGTACTGTAAAAAATTAGGAAACAAAACTTTTTTTTATTTATTTTTATATATATTTTATTTTTAAATAAAATATAATCAAAGCAATCACCCTTTGAAAGGTAAATAATACTTTTTCTGTATAAAATCTATTATTTAATATTATAAACAGCATAATATTATTTTACTGTCAAATAAAATATACTATTAATAATATTATATTAGGAAAAATTAACAAAAATATTTGCTGGGAAATCTTGTTAAATCTAAAAAAAAAAAAAAATCAGTTTATATAGTACAGTAACTTTTTACAGGTTTTTACTGTGACATTTGATATTGTTTTTCTTCTGTAGAATAGAAATTGTACTCTACTCATAAAATACATAATCTAGAGCGACATGAAGCCAAAATATGATTAATAGGTTACATATATTTCATTAAAGTCGTTAAAAAATGTCTGACTTCACCATGGTGTTTAAAACACCTCTCAGGCCTGACTTCTAACGAGATGTTTTTGTTCTTTCTCAAATCAAGCCTTTCAAAAACATGCGTTCTACTGTAGATTCCGAGTGGAATTTCTAACATAATTCAGAACCGCTCCTAATTGGAATCAGATCCTGGATAAACTGGAGTCCCTTTTCAAGTATTTATGTTGCTGTTTTCTCTCAAGCTCTGACAAGCGTCATATGAGTCAGTAATGCTGTCTTCACTCAGGTCCGGTGGGTGATGATTGACGTGAGAGAACTTCCTTCCACATTCCCAGCTCAACACCGCCCTCAGCTGTCAGCACTCTCATACTGTACAGTGACTCAACTACTGCCTTTTTATGAAACGACTGATTGATTGCTTATTCTGGCCAGACACCAGTAAAAGACTAAAAAGAATACTAAAGTGTGAAAACAGGATGAAGGAGAAACAGATGAAGAACTAGGACAAACTGACTGCGTGCATAGGCTACATTTGAAACAATAACATG